TTTCTTCTTTTTCTTCTCATGAATATGTTGGAATATGTTGATTTTCTATACTTTAACATGAAGTTTATACTTTTCTTATGAAAATTATGGAAATTTATTAAGGAAATATGATTATGGAACCTAGGAACTACCCTAGGATACATGTTTTTACTTAAAAAGTCCATCGCCTAGGCAACAAGGCACCCCCCATCGCCTAGCCTCGCCTTAGTGCCTTGAAAACTATGGGCTCAAGCTGACTTCAATTCTGATAAACAACAGAAAACAGGAAGAATGTCATAGACCATTGATTAAGACGAGTGACAGAGGCTCTGATGAAGATTCAAAAGATGAAGACAATCTTGAAAAACACAAATGCCTGGAAGACCAGTTGGCGACCATTCTCCAAAAAGAGGGGGGGAAGGAAATCCCAGGCAACACTGATGATTCAATCGGGCAACTCGGACAAGTCGACTCAAAGGAATCGAAAAAGGAAGTTGGAGACTGATGATAGTCTGTGTCTAATAGGTGTTGTGTATGAATCCCCTGCTCCATAACAAGTAGCACCACCAACAATCTCTAAAGAAGGAAGGTGGAGAGGCCTCATCAACAACTGGTAGCCATGCAGAGAGGTAAGTCCAAGTGTCGCCACCCACAAAAAACCATTTATGACCCAAAGTCCAAGGCCATAATACAAGTAATAAATAATATGGTGGAAATTTTAACAGCAGATGGAACTCGATCTAGGATTCCCCTTCCCATGTTGACAGAGGAAGTTCTTGAAACAGAGGGGTGGGTGAAGCTATTTACCAACCCTCAGTATTCAATAATGACCTTGGAAATCATTTGGTGGAATGAGACCATATATATGGTGTAATCTCTCCTTGGCTAGAACAGTCACATTGCAAGCAAGGAACCACTGATCATGGAAAACTGGGAGGATATTTGTGGAGAACTAGCCCCAACTACAATCGATACCTTTTTTATCAATAACTACAATCAATACCTTGCCAATGGAATCATTAGGGAAGTCTGTTGACTGGGTACTTCTTTGGCTTTGTCCATATTTTACATTGTAACCCCTACTTCATTTAAGCTTATATCGTTTTCTTGTCTTACTCGCTCTGATAGAAATAAAGATGTTCTTAATCTAGAATGCTAGGGGTTGTAATGGCCCCCATACCTTATGCTTCTTGAGAAAACAAATTAAACAAAAAAAAAACTGACTTGATTTTCTTATCCTAACCAAAACTAGAAAATCTAAACTCAAAACTCTCATTTGATCAATGGTGTGGATACCTGGCTAGAGGACAGTTAGGAGGTCTATTCTGTGGATGGAAATCTAGCATGTTTGTGCAACAAATTGTAGCATCCGAAAGAATGACAATTTTGAACATAAAGAATGGTTCTTTAGAACCAGAGCGGTGGTTGTGCTTAATATACAGGTATCCAGTAAGATCCAAAAGCAAGATTTTGGAGTGAGCTCAATGAACTAATTGGAGACAAATAAAACTGAATGATGGTAGGGGACTTAAATGACATTGTGGAAATTGAGGATTATCAGGGTGCAAGAGGAGGGACAAACAGAATATCAATACCCTTGACCCAGATCATAAACAAACACTCACCAAAAGAATTAGAACTAGTGGGTGCAAACTTCACTTGGACAACTAGATAAAAAAGGGTCTTAAATTGGTCAAGGACAAATTAGACAAATGTCGAGTTACTCCATAATGGCATAACCTTCACCCAGAAGCATGCATAGAGGCTTAAAAGAACACCTCTGATCATACCATGCTCCTCCTAAACACATCACCAAAAACACTATCGGGACCTAAGCAATTCCACTTCTTACCTACATCGACAAAAGAGGAAGAGTGTAAAAATAATCATTGAATGACAATGGACTGATCAAAACTCCCATAACAAGTGTTAAAGCTGAGAAAGTGCAAAAGAGATTTGAAAAAGCATAATAAAGACAGATTTGGCAAAACATTGAAGAGAATCTGAAAAAAAATAGAAGAAAAATTATTGGCCATGGAAGAGGAAGGATTATCAAGTGCAGATAATGAAAGAAAACTAAAAAATAGTATGAGAAATAGTTGTTGCGAGAAGAACAGCTGTGGAGACTAAAATCAAAGGAAGTTTGGTTGAAAGAAGGTGATAGAAACACCAAATGACAAAATCTAATAGAAAAAGAAATTAACTTGACTATCTAAAGAAGGAAAATGGAGAGAATATGGATTTAGAAGAAATTGCTAGGGCCTCCCAAGATCAAGCCATCCAAATAAGTGGGACCATGCAAGATGAAGAGATGGAAATGCATGAACTGACCCAAATAAAAATATCAAAAGAGGAAGCTGATGAGCTTACATCTCCACCAAATGATGAAGAAATTGTAGTGGTGAACCAAATAAAAATACAAGGGAGTTATTCTCAACATTAACTTAAAACCAAAAGCACACTTTTTTGAGATACATTGGTCATTTTCTCCAAATTCCTAAAATCCGGAGAAATAACCCGCCTCCCTATTTAACCTGTAAATGCCACAGATACCTTTTTCTATGACAGAGATAGTTCTACTGGTACAAGAGATTTGTATTTATTATTTTTCTAGACTATCTATTTCAAACCTTTTATGTATAATACAGTTTAACATTGAAACAACTGGTATAAGAGACAATTAAATGAACAATGCAGTAAAGCAACAAGTGTTTTTTATCCTGTTTTGAGTTTGTATGAAACATGATAGAGCCCAACCTGCAAGGATTACTTGAGAAGATTGCACTAGGAATGTGCTTCTGGAGCTCCTCAGTCAGATACTTTGGCAATGCACACCTCGGTAGGACAGTTGATGGGCCTGCTAAAATGCCAATGTAAGATGTGGTTTAGGAAGACACTTGCATGTACACAAGGAATATTTCAAATGAAAGAAATCATCTAGAAAAATGAAAGAAGTTGACATACCTGCATCATCAGGACCTGGAACAAACAAAAATTGACTGTTTTCTTTTAGCCGTTGATGAGCCCCAATCATTTCCCCAAGCTTTCCAAACTGTTGTCTGCATATGGAACTTGTTAACCCTGTTTTTCTCTTAAAAACAAGACAATACATCCTATCGGGAAAAAAGTTAAAAAGAATGCAGGATTTGGAAGGGTTCTTACCTGAGACTCGAGAAAGAATGAAAGGAAAGGTTGCATGGACGAGAGCAGAAATTCCCCATCAGAACAAATAAAGAAGGAACCACCTCCACATTCTCATAACCATCAAGGACAGTGGCTAACTTTGTCATAGTCTTTTCTACGGATAATACAAATTTGTTGGCTCTAAGAATAAAAAAGGTTAATGATAAGAAGCTGGAAATATAAGGTAGTAAATTACCTCTTCATTGTCTAGCCAAATGTCAGAGAGGATAACAAACATGTCATTCACTGCCTTTTTTTCCAGGCCTGCAAGTCGGATCTATTGGAAGTTAAAAGGAAAACCATAACACTACTATCAGTTACTCCAAAAGTCTTTTGAAAGGACAGCTAGAAATAGTTCAACACTTATTGATATTGTTGAAGGCCCAATAAAGGATACAGTTTCTTCCATTGTAAGAACACCACTGCCAAAGAAGTCAAGACCCACAAGCAATGCAAGTGAATCTTCTCTATCCTCTAAAGGGGGAAATCCACATGTATTAACCTACATAATATATCATGTATCAGTATCTTGCAGGAGTTATGAAGAAGCAATTGACACAGTGAATAAAATGTTGAACCATATTTCAAGAAATCATTTTAACAATAGCTCTAAAAGCTCAAAAAAAGAATTCTGTATGTTTGTTATTTCGAACTTCCATGGGTAACATCAGGAAGAAAAGATTTGGTGCATTAGATCACTCTAAATTGTAACCACTTAGACGAGTGTTGAGTCCATCTAAGCTTTATGTTTTAAATATGTTTACTTTGAGAAGTCTGTTCGCAATCATTCTTGGAAATCCAAGTATACTTTCTAGATTTGTGTTGAGTCCATCAAGATCTGACACTTTTTTATCAGTCATAATCTAGCTTGACAACAGCATATAATAGGCAGACATGAAAAAATGCATGTTTGAATTCGCATGCTACATATGTGATTTGTAAATTAATTTGGTTATGCAGTCCACTATATGTACATAGAGGAGCAATAGTGGAGGAATGTATCATTGGAAAGGTTCTGGAGTTGAGAATTATCTTTCTAAAAACACCACCTCTCAATTATTGTAGCATTTCTACTAAAAACACAATCTCTCTCTCTCTCAATAGTTTGACATGCTTGGGTTCAATCAATAGGCATCTCCATGCGGACTTCTCTAATATAAATTGTTGTTCCCTTTTCATCAATCTGTCTACCCATCTCTGTGCTGATTCATGGATCATCCATCAAACTTCGATCCGTCTCGCGGGACTTCAAGAACCAGGAGGATATTTTTCCCTTAATCTGTGTTTGAAGATTGAGAGGCTGATTCTTCATTTTGAAGTCAATGGTCATTGAGAAGGAATCTAAGACTTCTAGAGAAATATCCATGTTGATAACTAATTAGCAAATAGGAATTGGTATAACTAATTAGCAAATATCCATGTAAAGATGTTTTGAGGTAGATCTCTTCGGAAAGATCAGAGGTGGGAGGAGATGGGAAGCTAGGAATTGGTACAAGGGTGTAGAGAAGGGGGCGAGGAGGAGACCGAACTTCTCTTACAGTAAGGCGGTTACGACTGGAGTTTGGCCGAATTTTGGGCAGTCTGAAATCAAGAAGGTGGAGGATAGACAAATGATATTTACAAAGTCCCAAGGCGTAGAGGCCAGAAGGAGATTCTTGAGAGATTGCTTGGTGGGAAGATTTCAGTGGAGGGTGGGTTTTCAAGTGGAAAATTGGGTAAGTAGATGTTAGGAGGCGGAAGGAGTGAAAGTAAAGAAATTAGTCGATGACCTCTTCCTGTTCATATTCTCGTCGAGATCAGCGGYGGCTTGGATCCTTAAGCAGGGTCCATGGCAAATGGGGAGAAATCATCTCTTTCTGGACTAGTGGAGGGCAAGCGCTAGCTGCTTCTATCCGGAATCAAGCGAAGATTCAGACCGTTCAAAAACCATCTAGGTGAGGGTGTATGGTCTTCCTCTGATACTATGGTGCCCGAGTGTGATCAAGAACATAGGGGATGCTTGCAGTGGTTTCGTGGAAACCGATTACTCCCCTGAGGAGATTTCAACCTATGAGTGAGTTCGAATGAAGGTGAAAAGGTCTGGGAAGATTCCTAAAAAAGTGGAGGTTGTGGGGGAGTCGATATTTGAAATCTGTATTTGGCATGAGTCACTGCCGACGGTCCGAAGTTGGACGCAGGAGATTCATGAGAACAGTCAGTTCCGATCGCAGGGAAGGAGCTCGGAAATCTCTAACACGGTGGTCCTAGAAGACGAGAGAGAAAGCTCATTGCCGCAAGAGTTCCATAAAAGGTCATTGAGTTTCAAACCACCACTGAGTAGCTTGTCGGAGGTCAACTGAGGGGAAGAAGATGGTCGTGGGATCAATCTGATCCATCCACAAGCAATTCCGCTGGACGACCAGGATCGTCCTCAGGCTGAGTGCTTTGAATCTTGCACGCCAGAATTAATGAAGGGAAGAAGTGGGGATTTTCCAAGGGTGGAGGATTTAAAAACTCTCATAAAGCAATGCATTAAAGAACTACACGCAGAATCAGACGTGGAGGTCTCGAGGTTTAAGGAGAGGGAGGCTCGATAAAGGGCCGGATCGGATTCCAAGGAAGATGAGGAGATTCAGATTTGGACTTAGGTTCCGGAACCGGGTCAATCTAGATTTAAATCCTTGTCTACCCGCTCTACTCAATTGGCGAAGAAACTTGAAGGTAAAAAGTTTTTTAGTGAACCTCGGTGGCCCACTGGTAGACAAACAGATTATAGTCTGGTTCAGTTGGAACCGACCTGGGTTAGTCTGCCATCCAAACATCAGTTGAATCCAAGTGATGGGTGATCTGAGTTAGGCTGCTACTTCATCTCAAAAAGTTTGGTCTTCTTCAAAAAGTGTGTGGGAGATGGACAACAGGCGGCAACAAAGTCAAGAGCTACCTCTGGTGCTAGTGGAAGAGATAGTGGAAGAGACTCCGTTGGTGGCGACCCCTATTGCGGTGGTGGGTAATGAGGTTCATAGTGGAGATGTGGGAAATTATCTTGATCAATCCAAAGAGTTGGGAAATAGTGATGTAAGCCCCAAGCAAATGAGGAGAAGCAACGGAGAAGCCTTGTTAGGAAACAAGGGGAAAGCGAGTTCATCAACCGCGGAGGTAGGCAAGGACAGTAAGTCTGAAACTAATCAATCTTCTTGGGTGACACCGAAACTTCTGGGGCTGGGGACTTTCCTGGGAATTTCAATGGAGGGGATGGAAGCTGATACTATTAAGTTCTTGGAAGGAATTGAACAAAGAGTGCTTATGGAGAGGGGAAAATTGGCGGCAAAAAAAGGGGGATTAAAAACAAAGAGAAGCAGAGAAATGATGAGATTAACTTGGGGTTTGAATGATAAGGCAAAGAGCAGTGAAGGGGCTGCAAGGGGGTCTAAGAAGATGTGAAGTGTGGGTCCTTTTCTTTAGTTTTTTCTTATGGAAGTGAAAATTCTTTCCTGAATGTTAGAGGACTGGGGTTGGGAAGGAGTAGGATGATGGTATGTGATTCTTTGAAGCAATCGAAGTCTAAGATTGCCTTGCTCCAAGAAACTAAACTGGAGCGGGTTGATGCTGCTACAATACGAAGTGTTTGGGGGGAGGGTCAGGTCAGATGGAAGGCCTTGGCTGCCTTGGGGAGTGCTGGTGAAATTGTGAGCCTTTGGGACCCTACTTTCTGTTCTTTGGTTTCTTGCAGAATTGGTAATTTCTCAATCACTCTAAGACTGAAACTACAAGATGGAAAACTTATTCAAGTCACAAATGTTAATGGTCCTGTTGATGCTAATTATCAGATTT